GGCCTTGCAACCAGAAAAGAAACGGCCCCTGAAACGACCCTAAAATGAAGCATTTCTTGGCAAAAGCTCTTCATTTGGGAAATTCTCCAGCCCCGTCACGCTCGGGAATACCGTCAGCTTAGCATGGCTAAGTTCGTTCTTGGTTTTGCCTCAAAACGCTGCGCGCCAACGGCAGAGAGCAGGCGCCTCTGTCAAAGCCGCACGGGGTGCAGGCTCGCCGCCGGCTGGCTCTTCGCTGTCTGCGGTCCGCTTCCTCCGCTCAGCTGTAAGCCCCACGGTGAGGGCCCCTGTTCACCGCCGTGGCCCCAGCACACGGCACTGTAGCTCGCACACAGCAGGCACCCGTGATGGACGCCACGTCCGGTGAGTCTTCGGAGCCTTCGCAGGGCCCCGCAGAATGTCTGGTACAGGGCAGGCCATCGGTAACCGCCTGATGAAGGCCTAGACTCAGTTCGGAGAAACCCAGAGGCCAACTGTTGCTGCAGGAGTTTGGCTCCCACACTGGGTCTCACCACTTAGCTATTTAGAAAAGGACTTCACGACGATCAGGTTCAAGGTCTTGACTGACCAGCCGCCTGGCCTCCTCAGGTCACCTCCGCCTGGCGAACCCGTGACTTCCACGCTTGCCGTACTCAGGGTCTCCCAGACGAGCAAGTTCACACACTTTCTCCAGGGCTGACACTTAGGGATCCGCCTCCCACTACCCCTCTGAGACACCCACGAGGATGGAGCCCATGCCCCGAGGAAGAGCGGGCGGGACGGGCTTGTCTCCTCCGAGGAGCCACGGGCACGCCCCTGGGGACTCTCAGGCCGTTGTGTGCTGTCCAACAGCAACCAAACATGTTATCCTTGAGCTAATTAAACAGGAATTAGTAAAAGGAGTCCGTCAAGTACAGATCCTGTGCTTGTCCCGTATCACACTTTCATTACCCTTTAGAGCCACACAGTCCTGTCCCTGTAAAACCGAGGGCGTCCGTTCTGCGCAGCAGAGCCCCGTCCAGCAAGCCTGCCCTCCTCCCACTGACCCCTCATCCCCTCACGCTCCCTGCCCCGCCGCCATGCCTCTCTGCAGGCACATGCCAGGCTGGGGCGTCCTCAGGCGACAACAGCCTGTTCTCAGGGCTGACTCTGCACACAGCTCTCTTCCACTTAGAAGTCAGAGCAGGAAGGGGCACGTCCTCCAAGATCCCAGGGGGCCGAGTGCCTGACCCCAGGGCTCCCCGCCAAGGCCCATCGGCTCTCAGTGGGCTCGGAGCCCATGCCCAACCGGAGCAGGACCCGCGAACAGATGACCAGTGAGCAAATCGGGGCTGGCTCACCTTCTGAGAATCCCTCTGCCGTCCACGTATTTGCCGATCACAGAGCCAGACCGCTGCTTCCAGCCTGCCGAAGCAGCTGGGTTTGCCTTGGCCGCCTTGTCTTTCTGCAGAAACACAAAATGCCCTCAGACCCCGCCTGCTGGTCTGTCCCAGTGTTGGAGCAGAAAAGGGGTCACCTGCCCACCGCACAGGTCCGGCTTTAAGTGAAACTCTCAAGGAGGCAAGCGAGGTCCCAGGTTCCCGGCCAGCCCTCACCCACTCCTTCCTCTCACTGTCGTCTCTGCCCGGAACCGCTCCCCCATCTCCCATCTAATAATGCAATCAAACAAACCGGTACACTGTTTAGAGTCTGGGGTCCGCCAGGCTAGCCTGCCCAGGAGTAGCGATCATTTGCAAAAGGACAAATAAAAAGAGCTAAGTGTGGAATGCACAGGAAAAAATATCTGTGGGCAGAAAAAACTCTGTGCTTCTTAAAATCACGGTCTCCTGTGAGGCCCCAGCTCCTCTTTATTTCCAAAGCCCCAGAGGGTCGAGTAGCCCAATGCCCTGAACACAGCCCCTCAGCTGGACAGGGGACTCCAGGTCCTTGTGGAAGCAGGCTGGGTGCAGACAAACTGCTCACACATCGGCAGCGGAGAGCCTAGGTGGAGTGCGGCGCACCCCCGCCACCCATGTCCCCGACAGACGCCTGTCTTGTCTTCCAGGAGAGGAGGGAGCTGGATCACAGGAAGACTGGCTCATTAAGCAGCCAGCCCCATGGTTCCCGGTGATCCGCGCTGACAGAAGGAGGGGCCGTGTGCCCTCCGGGGCCCCGGGAGGGATGGCTGTGATTCCAAATGAATCTTTAATTATGATTCAGCAGGAACACGATTTTATCCCTCTTTCTTCTGTGCCCCACGAGGGATCTTAATTCAATTCTCTTCTCAAAGCAGAATGAGTTTGGCAGGTGAAGGGAAGTGAGGTCAAGAGATTAGGGTGACATGGGGTGGGAAGTTTTAAAATACATTCCGTGTTACTTCTAAAACAATTATAAGCATTATCATCATCAAACAAACATGTGTAGGCTTAAGCCTTGCTCTAACAGCACACACAGGTGGGCGGCAGAGAAGCGAGCTGCCAGCCAGCGATAAAACAGAGGTGCTGTTGTGCGTGGTCCCTCCAGGATCGGCAGTTATAAACCAGGTGGGACCGGTTTCCAGGCAAACCAGCTGCCGTTTGCCGACCACGTTTAGGGCACCGAACAGCTGAGGGTCAGTGCGAGACCTCCTTTTGCCAGAGTTTTTGCCAAAATCCCTACAACATGGAAAAGAAGAGCGGGGATTCCCTCTCCTCCTGTGATAAATGAGGTCTTGGTTCAAGGAGGCTGATTTACCCAAGGACACACGTGACATTCGCAGCGTGATGGTCCTGATAGTCAGGAAGTCACATCCATCCACCCTGCCCCTCTTTTGCTTCCCTTCAGAGCATCCAGTGGCTACTGTCGGGGAGGGGGGTAGTAGGGGAACGTGAAATCCTAGATGCTGTGTAATGCAGCCCTACGGAGATCTTCCATGAACGCAGGATTTTTGTGCTATTTGAGAATGTATGTACGTCACGGATGGAACTAGCATTTCTGCCTCCGAGAAACGTGGGCAAACATTTCAGTCTCGTTCCGTCCAGAGGAAAGTGCGTCACTTCATGGGAAGTTAACTCATGGTTACACAATAGGTCACCCTCTATTTTTGCTACTTTCAAAAAATCTGCTGCCACCGTCCTGCCCACACGAAGGAGCCATCAGATCCCAAGCCTCGGGACACTCTGGGGCTGGTCCCAGCACAACGTGGCGGCCACTGGACCCCAGGGGAAGCGGGCTCCGGCCAGTTACCTGAAAACGCATGTCCCGTTCGTCCCGGAGGTGCTTGTTCCTTTCCCTGTGGACGGAGAAGGGGAATCGATTCAAACCCGGGGTCTGCAGTCAGCATGTGCAAGGGCAACTGCTGAGGGTCCGATGGGTGCCGAGGAAGGCTGGGTGTGGAAGCCCAGGGAGGGGGTGGAGTCACTTTCCTTAGGGACTGGGGTTAAGGGCAGCTGTGTAGAAGTGAGGTCAGAGGCAGGGGGATAGACGGAATGACTTGTGACACCCAGGGCCCTTCAGGATCCCGCCCTGGTCCACGCTGTCGCTAAGGGAGCCTCCCCCACAGCTGGCCAGGTGTTCCAGCTCCACCTGGACTGAGCCCCGGCCCCCTTCTCCAAACCATTCATTCATGCATGTGTGCCTTCACTCAGCACATGTCCCCTGAGCTCCCGTGGCATGCTGGGCTCCGCTCCAGCCACCAGGAGTATCCCGAGGGCTGCGAGACAAAGTTCCTACCCCCCCCCGGGCACTGGCATTTTAGCTCAGGGATCAATGCTATTGGGAAAAACCAAGTGGGCAAGTGGAATAAAGAGGGCCAGAGATGGAGGGTAGTCAGGGAAGGCCTCACCAGGAAGGTGGCGTCTGAGCAGCGGCTTGGGGAGGGTGGGGGAGACTTCATCACGGATGGGGGACCAGCCAGGGCAAAGCCTGTTGTCGGGATACAGGGGAACAGAGAGGAGGGAGCAGGTGCTCAGAGGAGGAGGTCAGAGGGGAGATGGGTGGCATGGGAGCCCTCCATCCCTGGCCTGTGCACCACTGTAGGGGCTCGGGTTTGATCCCAGTGAGATCTGGAGCCATGGAGGGGGGTGGCTGTGGAGTGTCTAGACTGGACTCAAGTTTTAAAAGAAGATGCTGTGCTGAGAAGAGAGTGCAGGGACAAGGGTGGGGCCCTGATGATTGGCCCGTATATTGAAGTCTAGTCACTTTACAATGTTGTGCCAATATCTGGTGTGCAGCATGTTTCAGTCATACATATACATACACATACTCCTTTTCATATTCTTTTCCATTATAGTCGCTACAGGATAGTGAATATGGTTCCCTGTGCTGGGCAGTAGGACCTGGTTGTTTACCTATTTCATATATAGAGGTCAGTATCTGCAAATCTCAAAGTCCCAATTTATCTCTTCCCACCCTCTTTCCCTCCTGGTCACCATGAATTTGTGTTCTATGTCTGTGAGTCTCTTTCTGTTTTGTAAATAAGTTTGTTTGCATGAGAAAATTCAGGCGCCAGCTGGTGGACAACTGCCCAAGGTCACGCGGTTCACCAGGGGCGGCCCTGGGGGTTGAACCAGATCCAGCTGCAAAGCGCACGTTCCTATGGGCACCCCAAAGTGCTTCCTTTTGCCTTGGGAGGGCAGCCCCCCTGGCCCGGTCACCCCCTAGCCAGTGTCCTGATCCCCGCCCCCATTCCCGCTGTCCTCCTGTCCCACCCACTCCCAGCTCCCTCTCTCCCTGATCCCGGTTTCTCTGTCGCTACCTGGTGACCTCACTGTGGGGAGGGGGCTTCTGTGGGCCTCCCTCCGCGTCTGGGCTCTCACCAGCCGACTTGGGGGGCCAGGCGATGGCACAGAGAGGCGTCTGGCTGGGATTCTGCACGGATGCTGGTCTCCATTAAAAAGACCCAAAGTAGTGGCAGCGTGCTGCCTCGGCATCCTCCCCTGCGCACTCACGCTGAATCTGCCCTTTTAGTTTTCTAAGAACAATAGACAAAAGGAAAAAAAACCAAACCAAACTCAGACTTGCCCATCTCCTTCTCTGCCTTCGGCTGAAACCTTCCTGTGAGTCGGGACCTTCTCTCCCAGGGATTAGGACTTGGCCACCACGACCCTCTCCCGCGACCCCAGCCTTTGGAATCACGTCTTGAGTGAAGCGGATCTGAAACGCATTCAGGCTGAAGCACGTTTATGTTGAGCGGCTGCAGCGATGCCAGACACGGCGACCTTGCCTTGCTTTCAAATTTAAAGAAAAACCCTAAAGCCGTCATAATGTCCCTGATTCAAAACCACCTGCCCTTTAAAAACCAGAATCCAAAGTCCTTGTCTGGCAGGCAGTGTGCACAGCAGCTCAGAAACCCCGGAGGCAAAAGGGAAACTTTCATCTTCCCCCACATAAGTCTGAGTTGGCTGTTTTTTTGTTTTTTTTGTGGGGGGGTGTATGCCAACCCAAGCCGATGTGCTACGAATGCCAGACCACGGGCTTTGACCTCACAGTGGGTTTAGCAGACCGAGGAAACTCCTAAACCCTTTCCTTGGTGCCCCGTCTGTGATTCATGTACTCATTCAACAAACATGAACGGAATACAGCAGGATCAAGACAGTCAGCCAGATACGGGTCTCAGTTCTGCTCCAGCAGTGAGGATCTGGGGCTCTTTTGGCAAATGGCTTCACTTCTCTGACACTGACTTCCCCATCAGTTAACTCCTGGATTAACAACTGCCCCCCTTCCCCAAGCTTGGTGAAGCTGGAGACACAGCGTCCGGCACAGGGCAGATGCTCAATAAATTCCGGCCCCTCCCACTTAAGCGAGTCCAGAGCCGGTGCCCAGCGACACCACGCCCGCCCGCGGAGGTGCAGCCTGGGAGGTGGGGGCGGCGCGTGTGAATGGACCAAACGTGGCGGAAAGGTGGCATTCAGCTGCCCCTCGGCTGCCCAACAGTAGGCGGGGCCAGGGGGATGAGGCGCTCTCCCGGCAGGCGGGGGAGACTCTGGGCTGCCCCTCTCAACCTCAGGCGTGGGGATGCGGACGCACCTCAGGAAATCCAGCTGTTTCAGGAGCCCCGACTTCTCCCGCTGCAGGCTCTCCGTCACGCGGTACACTTCCCTAGGAGGAGGTAGACGGCAGAGATGAGCAGCCACGCCCGGGAGCCAGGCAGGTGGGGCTGCAGCCAGACCCCCGACCCCCGACCCCCGAGTGGGACCCCGCCGGCCTCCTGCTGCAGAGCACGGCTCAGCGCAGGGGCTTCAGCCAGATCTCAGCCAGTCATCGCAGGGCCGCTGTCTGGAAGCCGCCATTATCCCCACTTTACAGACACAGACAGTCAAAGGTCACACGGACGACCCATGACTGGGCCAGGGTTCTCATCCAGCCCCGGGCCCAAGAGCCCGCCCTAGTGATGACTGCACCGCTGCCAGCTCACACCGGAGGTCAGGGATCAGAGTCAGCACGCTCCCCCCTCCCAACCCCTGACGCTGGTTTACTTTGTTTTCAGGAGCCACTGAAGAATCATTTTTCCTTTCCCACCTGCCCCCAACAGTCTCTGATCTGTTCCCAGATGTCTGGAATTTCTACTGTTGGCCATTCCTTTCTCTGACTTAGGATTTCTTATCTCCAGCTACAAAGCAGAGCTTTAATGCTATCAAGCGTAATCCGTCCTTCGTACCACTGTGTGAGCATTTCATTCCTAGGAATTTTGAGGGAGGGGAGAGGACGCTGAGCGATACGTGGGGTCGCTGGAGGGCAATTTAGGCTGCAAGGTGGGGGCCGTGTGTGCTCTCCTTACACCTGCACCCTCCACGCGGTGCCGGCTTGGGGGCACAGGCAGCAAACAGCAGCGGGAAGGATGGGAGGGGAGAGGGTGGAAGGAGGGGCCGGCAGGGGTGGAGGGAGGAGGAGAGACGGAATGGAGGAGTGGGGTAGGCGAGGAATTCGGCCCCACTCAGAGAAGAATGGAAAAATGTAAAGCAGATCTGAGTGACACTGGAAAAGGAGCCTTGCTTAACTGTACAGTTCTGCCTCCATCCTTCTGTCTGGGCTCTGCACCGTGGTGGGAGATTTTAACTGTCCCTCAGGCTTACTGCAAAGGGTCCGATGGCCCACGTATCCAAACCACAGCATGGTTTTCCGCAGGGAGCACCTTACGCCCGATAAATCTCTCGTCCATGGGCTGTCAGGGCTGCCTGGACTGTGCACACCCTGGGCTGAGCAGGGACGTCCCCCAAGTCGATGGTCTTGCTGGGCTGGCGAGAGCAGCACCGCTGGCTGGGGCCTCGGGACTCGCCCGCCAAGCTCACGATCGCCTGATTCCTTAAGAGGTATCTGCGGGTTTTTCCCTTTTATAGAACAATTATAAAGTCAATTTTCGACGGTAACAGACTGAATCAGAGTCTAAGTTCACCTGAGACAATCCCAATTAAGCAACGAAACTTCTCTGGCTCCTGCGGAGCTGCAAACGCAGGACATTTCATCCCCAATTAGATTTAATTTCAACTTGAGGGAAAACAATGCATTTCCCATGATCCCTGTTGGGGACTCTGCTCTGATCAGCATCATGGGATCAGCACAGCTGCCTGGTGCCCTGGGAGCCAAGGTGGCCTGTGCCCGGCTTTGGGGCCCCCCGACCCCAACCCCAGGCCCTGCTGCTTTCTGGGGGCAGCCGGGAGCAGACGGCTTTCCCCGCTAAGGACGCTCACTCACTGGAGACCTAAGGGCTGGGTTCTCAGACCGTTTGACTGCGGGGCTAATTCCCACATCATAAGGCGCTCCAGGGGCGGGTCTCCTTACACAGCACCAGCGGACCTCCGAGCTGTGCACACACACACACACACGTACCTGGCATGTGGTGGTGCAAATACACCTCCGTCTGTCTAGTAGGCATACCTCT